CAGTACTGCTTGTAGTAACCCAAATCCGACACCACCCCCTCAACCTGTAGAGTTTATAGGTTTCGGACGCAGGACCGCGTTTGCGGCGCCGACCTTGCAAATCACAAGAGCTGCGGCGTGGATGTGCAGAAGCATCTCCTGCAGAAGCGACCCGGGTTGGGATTATGAGGGGGGGGGGTTATTAGGGTTTCCTGCCGAAGCAAGGTCTGAAGCATGAGAGGTTGCCCATGTGTGTGCAACATAGGTGCAAGATTCGAATTCCGGGCTGGTGGAGAGTTGCGGCAGTTGCAGGCTGAGGGAACAGTGAAGAAGATTGTGGTTCGCTGCAGGATATGTCGCATGTAGAATTTCCAACCACGCTCGGGCTGCAGCCCTTGAGCGGCGTGCCAAGTGCAGTTTGCAGAAAAGGTATTCACGCGGAGGTATACATCGAACCGAACCCCGCGCTAGCTTCTTGTAAGCCCAACCTCGCTCGCAAAATGACTGCCGCAGCCTTTGTTCGTAGTGCGACTGCATCGAGGCAGCAGTTGCAGAGGTGGCCGCATCGGCGGTTGTGTCTTTTGAGCAGTGCCATGCGCAACCCTCGAATGTGCGGGCATGCGAAAATCAGCGAAGACGTGGCCTACGTCGCGTGTGCGGGATCGTGTCGTTTTGGCCTGAGAACGCCGCGGCCAGACATGTTTTGTCGAGGAGGGTGAGCTATCAGAAGCTTAAGCCGACCCAGCTTCCTGGCCCCGGGGCTTCCGAAGACAGGGTGTGCAAGCCCGAGCGAACGAGTACTTGTCAAGGCTGCATGCATGTTGGTTAACTAAGAGTATGCTGACGTGGAAATTGGTGAAGTTGTCAATCAGGTCCACGTGCTCCAGCACAACGCCTTCTGCAACCGTGCGTGCTGCCGCCAATTAGCTGGAGTCGGTTGGAGCCCTGCCTTGATGCAGCAAAGAACGCCAATGCTGACATTTGTAGGAAGGGGAAGATCTGGTGTCCGAGACTACCGGCGACGAGCGTGGCCGCTTCCGTGCCATAGCTTACAGTCTGCGTGTCGGCCTGCGGTACATCATGCGCAGGCGAACAGAACTAATGGTGAAGCAGTACGGCATCCTCGGAAGTTGTTGTCTCCCAGAAGTTGTTTCCCGACAGCATCGTGGTTAGATGCGCAGACCGCAGACTTCTTTCCAGGGCAAGAGTTCGTATACTTGTCGAGATCGCGGACCAGCATAATTGGACGATCAACCGTGAGCAAATTCATGAGCTCACAAGGGAAGCCAATGCGTCTTTGGGTTTCGGGCCAAGCATTTTGTTGTTATGTCTGTGGCGCGGTCTGCTCCCCGTGCAACTGTTTGGAATCCTCTACTCCGGTGGACTATGGCCCACCTTCGGCCCGACAGTTGCGCTTGCATGCATGTCTGCCTTTCCCGCTGCATTCGCGCATTGTGGCCTTCCCAGTCCGTGCAGTAACTGCATGTGCTGCAGCCGCAGCCATCAACAGCTTCGGCGCCGGTCTTGCCGGAAGGACCCTTCTATTCGCACACCTGTAGGCAAGTGACAAGTCGCCCAGCAGCATTCGGCTTTGCGCGAGGCAAATATTTTCTGCCGCTAATGTGTTGTTAGCCGCAGGCATCAGGAATTGGACGGGCCCTGGTACTTTCGCTTCTCGTGCAGGCAAGGCTCGTTATCCAGTTCTCCAGCAGCTTGCGTAGCACATGGCGAGCTTGTGCCCGTCATGCATCGCCAGCGATGGCATGGATGTCACTGGTTCCAACGTTGTCTGCCTGCCGTTTTAGGTTCGAGAGTTGACATGATACTGGAATCGCAAGCTTGCAAGTTTTTTTGTTGGTTGCCTATGTCCAGATTGCGCTGGCTTTGCATGCTGGAATCAAAGTCAATGTCGCAAGAGGAAGCCCCATCTTCGTCAATGGTTGTTGTTCGTGTGGCGACAGCACTGCAGAGCCAAATTGCCGCCGTGTGCCTAGTGACATACGTTTTGATGGCGGAAGTGCAAAGACCTTGCCGGAAAAAGCCGCCTTGGGCTGACTTCCTGGACGAAGATGAGCTGCGCTTCGAGAATCAGCATGTCATCCTACACGATCCGGTCGTTCGTGGCATGCAAGATCAGAATCCACACCGTGTTGATTGAAATATATAATTGTCTGCTTTGTTTCGATTCGGCAACCCTCTCCTTGGGCTTGGCAACATTGTACAGCTTCAGTTTGCGATGGTTATTTTGGATGGGCCGAGCTCTGCAGCCGATGCCGCTCCACACAGACAGTGCATGTGTTTTTTTGCGATGGGCCGCGGCGGGCGCCAGTGTCCCGCTCGCCCGACGGCTGGTCGTGCGTGGCCCCATCATATTCTTGGCCCAGGTATATATTAGAAGCCGCACGGGGGATGCAGGGAGGCTTCTCCTAAAGACGGCGAAGGAATCCCAGAGTTCGCAAGGAACAAAAGCTGTGTTCAGCCGGCTAAGCGGTGGCTCAGTTGGCTCACAACGCCGTCTTTTTCCAGGTCTGGCCAGAGGGGTCAGACACAAGGGACCGGACGTAGTCAATCCGAAGTCGCTGGTCCGAAGTCGCTGGTGGAGTCTGGTGGCGGAGGAGGAGGAGGAGGTCATTAGGGGAGAGAGCGAAAAACCGGTTGCAGGGGGTTCAGAAAAACGCGACAAACGTCAAAGACAGGTGACTGGGGGTTAAAAGAAAGCGATGCCCGGGTTTAGGATCCTAGGGTTTGGGGTTCAGGATTTCAGGATTGAGGCCTCAGAGATGTGGACGGCTTGGGTGTTAGTTGCTTTGGGGTGTAGGGGGTTATGTGGCAACACTCCCGCCCGGTACGAGTAGCGGGACCCTGACTTCCTGAAGAAGCTTGCGGGGTTTTCAGGATTTGCGTTTGAGGAAAATGGTTGAGGGTTTAGGGTTGATGGTTGCGGAACTGTAGCTCGTGGGCAATCAAAGGCGCATCAACCATCAACATAAACCCCAAAATCCTAGAGCCAAAGGCTCGATTTCGAACCCGAAGCCTTTGTAAAACGTACTTGCATCTGAATATCTTAACTCCCCAAACCGCCCTAAAACTCTACAGCCTCAAACCCCAAATCCACCAAGTCCGAACAACATTCCTTCAACTCCAAAAGCCGCCCCCCATCCCAAACGCCCTGAATCACAGGTGTTATTTGCAGCCGACATGTGAGGTGGACTGGTCGGAGTGCCTTGGCTTCATTCGGCTATCTGCTGGGATCAGGGCTTCGCTACGGCGTAGGGCTCAGGATTCAAAGTTCCCTTTCTGGGCCGATCGAAGTTTTACATGGCTTTGAGGAGTTCTGCAAATCGCGTCTGGCATTCAGGGCGATCTACGCTGCCAATTTGGGGCTGTCGTTTTATGTTCCAAAAGGTATGTGATAGATTGAACCTTCACGTGTTAGGGATCGAAAAGCCCATACATACAATGTGTTGAAACTTACCCGTGATAGGGCTATTACCTTGACAAGTTTATGTTTAGTGCGTATTTTCTGGGCTTCTAGCATTTCAATTTCATCCAGGCGCATCGGCTGTGCGTGGCTGCCCTGCATTTGGGTGTAACACACGGTGCTTTTCCAAAGAAGCTTTTGGCTGCAAAACAGTGAGCCTCATCCACAATCAGACCGTAACGACAAAAATGGCTGTAACCCGGCCCTAACCCCAATAACGGACAAAGACCGAACCTCAACCTGGACCGTCAAGCCAAAATCCTCTCATGGCACGATTGCTTTCTCCGAAGCTTCTGCTGTCAGGTTTTCAGCACAGTGTCCGGGGAGCCAATTGGTGATGCGCTGGACCTGCAAGGTGGTTATGCAGTAGAAGTAGAAGCCGACTGCGACGACTAGCACGACTACCACGACTACTACGATTATTACGGCTACTACAACTACTACGACTGGTGCGACTACTGCGGCTACTGCGATTACTGCGACTGCTGCGACTGCTGCGATTACAGTGATTACTGCGACTACTGCGACTTCTTACACTTCTGCTTCTATTTCGTTGCTGCCGCTACTACTCTTAGTATTACTGGTACTGCTTCTTCTTCAAAAAACTACTACTACTACTACTACTACTACTGCTACTACTGCTGCTACTACTACTACTACTACTGTGGATGGAGGAAATCTTGCAACGCCCGGTTGTTGACTCATGATATCGCTCGCCGATCACCAAAATTCGGACCCCCTGTTTAATGTTGATGGTAGCGCGCCATGTGGCTGGGCAAGATTTTTGTCAGTGGAACCCACGGCCCTTGCCAGGACTGGACATCAATGTTAAGCAGGGGGTGCGCGGCACGCGCATTTTTGGTCTTCTCAAACTGGTGCAAGATTTCCTCCATCAACAGTACTTCTACTACTACCACTACTACTACTGCTACAACAACTAGTACTGCTGCTGCTGCTGCTGCTACAGCTACTGCTAGTAGTAGTAGTAGTAGTAGTAGTAGCAGCAGTAGTAGTAGTAGTACTACTACTACTACTACTACTACTACTAGTATTACTACTGCCACTACTTGTACTACTACTAGGACTAGTACTAGTAGTACTACTACTGCTGCTGCTACTACTACTGCTACTACTACTGCAGCTGC